CACACACACACACACACTCTTCTTTTCTATCTCTGCTAGTCAGTTCACCTGGTATCAGTTTTTATTTTAACAACAAATAATTTTCAGTTGCATATATTATCATTGAGTACCAGACTACATATATTATTTGAACCTTAGTGTTCATGTCAGAGAATATGAAGGGGTTTTGAAAGGAGAGAAAAGGACATGCCTGTGAGGAAAATACGGCATGGTCAGAAAGCATACTTGCTTCAGATGGGAAAATCTTGTGAGATTGGAACAATTTAAAATTTTTAATGAGTCAGTATTTTTAGCCTTCCTCTTGGCTAGTTTAAAGACCACATGGTCTGTCTCTTGTTTGTTTCAATTCTAAACTCAAAGCTAACATGAAATTCAATAGGCACTTCTTTCCCTTGATTCCTTAATTCATTCCTCTAACATTTTTGACCTATCTTCTGTGTTCTAGAAATATACCAAGATTAATATACTGTGATTTCCGAAAAAAATACAAGCCACTTCAGGTAATAGTAATATAACTGAATAATTTGAGCTTTCTACCATTCACTAAAAGAAAGGTGCTTAACTCTATCTGGGAAGTCAGGGAAAGCTTGGAGGAGGAGATGAAATAAAAACAAGTTTGAAAGGATAAGTAGGAATTTTGTCACATTGAGGGCAGGCAAAGTATAAGCAGAATACATAGTATATGCTGTCTTTATATAATAGTATATAGGTGTTCAGTGTGAAAGAGTATCTGCCCCAGTGAAAATCTTGGACCTCTTTTTCCCTGGGAGTCTGTGACTAATTGATAGCTTCAAGTTGCAGCCTCATAGTCAGCTCTTTGTATCTCAAGGTGACCCTGAATAAAACATCTCTTTCTGTCCAGGAGCTTCTTTCTTCGATATGAAAATAACATAACTTTTGTCTATCAAAACATGAACACCTAACAAATGTCACACTTGTGTTTTGGCAAACATCACCAGTAGCTTCCTGTACTCTCAATCTTTAGCTGGAGTGGCCTCTGTAGCATTGGACACAGTTGACCACATCTTTTTATTGATTCGTTTTTATCTGCCTGCGCTTTATGTTGTTGTTACATTGGCCTCCTCCTCTCCGTTTGAACAGTTTTTTTCTACAAGAGGTTTTCTGTGGTTCCTCAGTCATGTAAGTCCTCTTAGGACATGCTAGCATAGCACTACATAATGTTTTTGCCACTACTTTCATCGGGTGTTATTTTAAGTATAATATGTGTCTCATTACCTGCCCTCACTGCTGGATATAGGTTGACTTTGAAAAAATACTAAGCTTACTTAGACCACTGTTCAGTCTGTTATTGTTACTGTTGTTTTTAAGTTGCAGCGTATTCAACAAGCTCTTCTAATTACTGTATTCTTCGAGCTTAGATACCTCTCCTTTCATTATGAACCAGTTCCTCTTCTACAAGCCATCTATGGTTCCTTTTTTGCTAAAGATTAATAATGAGAATAATGAAGCAAGTGGTTATTTATTCAGTCATGATTGACAAAGGTTATTAGAACAGGAATCTGCCCAGAAGTGGTGATTAGGTTATGAAAATGTTACGGAATACTGAAACCAATCACCATTTTTGACATTTAAGAAATACTATTCCCACTTTAATCATGATGACCTGTTATAAAAGTATTTATACAGAATAATCTCATTGGACAGTAATTTTTATACCAACAGCATACATAATTAAGTGTAAGGATAAGATTCAGAAATGATCTGAGAGAAATGTGGGCCTTGGGAGGAAAATTCCACAATGAGAAGTGAGGAATGGCCTCTCTCGGATAGAACTGTCGGTCTCCCAGACACCTTATCTACACAGTTAGGTGACCTTTTCCATTTATCATCTTCATCCTGAGCACTTCGCAAGTTTGAGGAGCTGTTAGAAAAGGTGCCCCAGGTTAGGTTGCTATGTTCTTCATACTAGACTGTAAAAAATGTAAAGAGGTATATGGACAGAAAATGTCCTCATGATGGTTTTATTATTTAAACACTGACTTAATTAACAGTATGCAAAAACCAAGCAAACAAGACAAAAATCTAATTATATCTTGTTTAAACCCTTTATGTTTAATACTAGTGTCCTGGTGCACGGATTTGTGCACATTGAAAGGAAATTAATTAGAAGAAATATTTTAATATCACTATTTGCCCTTTCTCTGTAATAGAAGTGTCAACCAGATTCACAGTCAACAATGACATATTGAAACACAAGTGTGCGATTGGGGCCAACCAGAGCTTTTTATGTATCACACATGCACAAGTCAGCTTAGCCTTTTATAGATATAGAATAAACTTGCTTCATTAGACCTGCTTTCTGATGTAACTAAACTTTTCCCACCCCAGTGAAGCACCCCAACTTCTCTTTCAGGTAATTGTCAGCAAGCAGTAAATAACATCATGAAGCAGATTATTATTCTAAATCATGCAGGGAGAACAAAGAGTAAAATATTTAACTATAGCAGTGTTTGACTATATTCTGCACAGTGAGAAAACCTGAGGTCATCTAAAAGTCCCACCATTTCTTACTTCTTTTCAGCCGGGTCAAGTTTATCAACTTTCTAAATCTCCATTTTCCAGCTAATGAAAAGAAAATAGGATTCTACCAAGTCTCCTATCTACCTACTCCAGGACTTCTGTGAGGATCAAATGAGATGAGGCATGGCAAAACACTTCAAAAACATTTGATTGAAGTGTAAAATGTTTGCACCTGGCTATAAAGCAAGTCATGTTTCTGGGCTGAAGAAACCCCAAGGAGGCTGGTCACTAGGGAGAGGAAGCTGGACATTGCTACATAACGTCATTACCTGGTGCCTACAATGTCCATTTCTGGGATGGGCTGTGCTGGGGGCCACATTTTGCGCCATGGGGTCTTGGCAGTATTGACAACGATGTGGTGGGGTGTCGCTCCAGGGTGGTGGCAGGCCTGTGTCCCAGTTGGGGTAAGCTGAGTGTTGGTTTGTTGGTGCCATTATTTTTTAAATGACCAGTGCATGTAATGGCAGCTCCTGCGTTGAGCGTCTGTCCCCTGGTGGTCAGTGTGCATCATAGCTAGCCGTTGGATAGACACTCAGCTTTTTATATATAGATAATTCACATAATAAAATTCACACTTATATAAGACTCCATTGTTTTGAGTGTATTCCTAAAGACAGCATCTACTTCCAGAGCATGTTTATTACCTCCCCCCTAAAACTCGTAGCCATTAGCAGTTGCTTCCTGACCCCCCACACACCGCCCAGACCTTCATAGCCACTAATGCACTTTCTGTCTGAATGGGTTTGCCTAACCTGGACATTTCCTTTTCTTTCCTGCAGCTTTTCTCATATAATTGGTACTTAACAAAGTTGGCGAAGGGAATAGAAAGTGGCCACGGATGTATGTAACTCCTATTGTAACCTGGTATCCTTAAAACTGACTACTGTTCTTTCTTGTGGTCAGCAAACTGTGGCTTGCGAGCCACATGCGGCTCTTTGGCTTCTTGAGTGTGATTCTTCCACAAAATACCGCGGCCTGGGCGAGTCTATTTTGAAGAAGTAGTGTTAGAAGAAGTTTAAGTTTAAAAAATTTGGCTCTCAAAAGAAATTTTAATCGTTGTGCAGTTGATATTTGGCTCTGTTGACTAATGAGTTTGCCAACCACTGCCCTAGTTTATTGGAAGAGGTATTCAAAACAAACAGAAGAGCAACAATTTCATATAAATGAAATCATATATAGTATTTTGTGTCTGGCTTCTTTAGTGTAATGTATTCAAGGTTCATTTATTTAATAGCAGGTAGTAATACTTTGATTCTTTTTATGGCTGAAGAATACTCCACTGCATAGATATACCGCATTTTATTTATTCATTTATCACTTGATGGACATTTAGGTGTTTTCACTTTTTTACTATCCTATATAATAAAGAGCTAATTTGCTAATGAGACTGGACTGTGGAACGACCTTCTGGAATGACCAGTGGGCAGAGCCAGGGCTGCGAGGACCGAGTCCCTTGCACAAATTTCATGCATCAGACCTCTAGTTATGAATAAAACTGCTTTGAATATGTATGTAGAAGATTTTACTTGGGCACATATTTCAATTCTCTTGGCTCACATGGTAACTCTATCAACTTTTTGAGAAACTGCTAAATTATTTTCCAAAGCAGCAGCACTATTTTATGTTCCCATCAGCTATGGAGAAGGGTTCTAATATTTCCGTATTATTGTCAGTGTTTATTATTGTCAGTCTTTTTTGTTATAATCATCCTAGCAGATGCAAAGTGGTAAATTGTTGTGGTTTTGATTTGCATTTCCCTAATGGTTAGTGGTGACAAGTATCCTTTCTTATGCTGCTTGACCACTTGTATATTTCCTTTGGGGCAATGTCTATTCAAGTTCTTTGCCCATTTTTAATTAGGTTAATAGTGTTTATTGTTGAGGTATGTAAGGTCTTATGTTCTGGACACCAGTCCCTTATATATATAACTTGCAAATATTTTCTCTCATTGACATTGTCTTTTTAATTTCTTTCTTTGAAGCACAAACTTTTAAATTTTAAAGTCCAGTTTGCTTACTTACTCTTTAGATGCTGTTTTTTAAGTAATTCTTACCTAATCCAAGAAACAAAGATTTACTTTTATGAGTTTTTTAGTTTTAGCTCTTGCATTTAGATCAGTGATCCCTCTTCAGTTAGTTTTGTATATGATGTGAGGCAGAAGTCCAACCTCATTTTTTGCATGTGTTTGCATTTGTTTTTATTTATTACAATTTCAATGTTGAGAGAGAAATGTCTTTAAATGAGATACTCATTGCTACTCTTTGTGAATGTTATTTCACTGATGGGGGGGGGGGGGGGATACTTTATTGTGTTCATCCGAAGACTGCACTTACCTGCACTCTCGCCTAATATGGGTGCTTTTCTGTCTCTATTCTGCTTATTGGGATCTGCAGAGCGGCACTCATGGATGCACTTTGAATCCATTTACTAGGTCTTTTCCCCTTAATTTGCAATCTCACCTCTTCAGCTACAGTATAGAGAATGCCAAGATCTTCTAAGCCTCTATCAGAAATATCTATCAGAACAGCAAGAGAAGCTCGCCGTGTCTCTCTCAGGGCTTGATACTGCTAGGATGCAGGAACAACAGGTAAGCGTCTTTATTCTTACCTTTTCTTGTCTTTATTGGATCAGCATGATGTCAGAAGGGTCATTTGCCTTTTACTGTAATTGTCTCACAGTACATATAGGGTGAGCCAAAAGTAGGTTTACAGTTGTTTGTATGAAAAAGTACAATAGTTAATAAATAATAATACACAAACTCTGTTTTGGGTACTCACAACTGTATACCTACTTTTGCTCCACCCTGGAATGTTGTCTTAAAACATGGAAATGCAGCATGTGATTGAGCTGGTGTCTTTTTTTTTTTAATCTAATATATTTTTATTGATTTCAGAGAGGAAGGGAGAGGGAAAGAGAGATAGAAACATCAATGGTGAGAGAGAATCATCAATAGGCTGCCTCCTGCACACCCCTCACCAGGGATGGAGTCCATAACTCAGACATGTACCCTGACCAGGAATGAAACCATGACCTCCTGGTTCATAGGTCGATGCTCAGCCACTGAGCCACACTGGTCGGGAGAGCCGGTGTCTTTTACTTCCCTCTTTCCCTTTCCTCTCCTATTCCTGGAGCCCGGGAGTCCGGAAGCAGCTGTGGGCCAGTGGGGACACTCCTGGTTGTGTGAAAGGACAGCAGGAGTGGAAAGCAGGCTGCTGCTATGCTGCTTAGCGAAAATCAGGTGACCTGTTCCTTACTCATAGAAAAACACTAATGAGTCTTTCCTAACTTGTACTTACATTTTTAAAGTCATAAAAGTGACTTGTTAACTTACAAAGGCTTTACCTGGATAGAATTAAAATATTTTGCATGATTTTGTGTTTGTGTGTATATGTATTAGTCACATAAATATATGAGAGTGTTTATAGATAAACATTTTACATGCATTTCATCAAATGGTATATATTCTATAATTAAATGAAGTTTCAAAACTTTGCCTGTTATGATGTGAAACAAGCTTTACAGATCGACTTCTTGCTCTTCAGGAATTTATTTCATTTTCTTATCCATATGAATTTAAATCTTCAAATGAATGAAGATAAGTCTTGTATATTAAAAAAAATCAGGGGAAAAAAGTGTCGTACAGTCAGAGTCATTCACACTGTGTTAAAGCATGGGTAATATGCTTTGGTATGCTCCTCCCCTCTGAATTAGAACCCTGACCGAATGGCTTTGTGCAGCCCATCTGAAGAGCACCATTGCTGTTCAACCTAGAGGCAGCTGCCTCTGGTGGGTTAAGAGTTTTGGCCAAGAAAACTCCAGTTTTTAACCTCAAGTTTGGACATATGGAAAACTTAAAAAAATAATTTTGCTGGAATGTGGGAAAACTTAGATTTTTAAAATCTGCTTTTCTTTTGAGTCATGACACCTATAAAAAATGGCCAAGGTGTGAATGGTTTATTTGTATTCTAACTTGAAATATTTTCTTTCGTTCTGTTTTCTGAAGACCTAGGCTGTAGAATTATGAAGAGGAACATAGTCAGTCTTGATTGTGTTTATCTGGATTTTTCCCGCCACTTTGAAAACAGCAGGCGTTTTTTAAGGTGGCCCTCGCCTATTGTTCTAGGTGGGACAGAGAAAATGGTAGCATGAAGATCAGATGTTTTACTTTTGTTTTGGCCTTTTCCCTCCCTCCCTGTATGTGACATAGGTGTGTTAGAGGGCACAGAAATAAATGATTTGCACAAAACCATTGCCAAGGTTTTGTGAGAAGTGAAGGGGCCTTTCATTGGCCAGCATAGAGTCTTATGACCTTAAAGATATAGACAGAAATCAGCACTAGGGGCTCTAAAAGCATCTAGATAAGAGGCCTGACTCTTTTTCTATCTATTTCTGAGACTGGGGAAAAGAAAACTTTCTCAGAGATTAGTGAATCTAACATAGTGAAACTTGGAGGTTTCACTAGAGACCAACCAAAGTTAACACTTCCTTTCTTAACTTTAACTTTGAGGCACTAAAAAAAGAATCACAAATACTAGAATGAAAATGTTGGTCAAGTATATGGGGATAATAATATACCTTCAAAAAAAAAAAAAAAAAGACTTGAATTTTCATTTTTACTTAATGCTGAGAAAATTTTCAAGGAGTACCTGGTGGCCAGGTTTTAGATTATGTCTTCTGTACAATGAAAATGAAATTGCGAGTAAAAGGCTACTTTTAGGCTCTGCCATTTGAACCTAGAGGGGAAACCACGTTTCGTTTTAAATACTAAGAGGAGTATGGTTTCCTATGGTACCCGACTTGTTCTTTGTACCAGCTTCTCTCTGCTGAGCAAAGGCAGCACCTTCTCCTGTGGGAATCGGGTAGATATGGCCAAGTCTGATTCAGTTAGGAAGGGCGTCACTGTGAAGACTTAGCCTAAATGAGGACGCAATTAACTTTCATGTCCTCTGTGTGCTTGCAAGTGGACTGTACTCCTCTCTGTCACAGCACCGTTCTTGTTCTTTTGTGATGATTGCTTATTCACCTGTCTTCTCATCCTGATATATTGGTCTTTGTATACTTAGAGCCTAACATAGGGTTTGACTCAAATATTTTAAAATAAAGATTATGTAAATAACTTATTATTTTTTAGTTTCCATCCATCCATCACCATTTATCCTAACTGTACCCTCTTCTACCCCCTTCCCCCAACCCTACCCCCCACCTTTTCCCCAGCAATCACTGCACTATTGTCCATGTCTATGATTTTTTTTCTCTTTTATTTTCTTTTTTGCAATCCAGGACTTTTTTATTAAAAAGAAAAACTTAAGTAGCTAAAACAAATGTTTGCTATAAATGTCCTTGTCTTTATGGCTAACCCTTGTTGGCTCTTAATCTGACATATGGTTTTTGAACACCAAAGCACAAATACAGTAGATATGGTGGGAAACTATTTGCTTTTCCTGTGAGTAGCCACAATGTCAGGTAAACATAAAATTTTAATTTGCTCTCAAAATAAGTTGTATGTTGTTGTTGTTGTTGTTGTTGTTGTGTGTGTGTGTGTTTAAAAAACAACCTCATCTCCAGATGTTGTGATGAAGATGGCAGCAGTTCATTCTTCATGAGACATTCATTTGACTTTGAGAGACTTGTTCTGTTGCTTCTTTGTATCGGGTGCCATCTGGCTCAAATTGCATATTATAGGTTTTGCTTATAGTTTTATTAAATCCATAGTTCTACAGAAGAATGCCCTGTCTTATGATTTTCCTTTTTATCTTCTGCTGTTTCCTTGAAAAGAAATTGGTCCATTTACAAGGTAAATTGTTCTTTGCTTTTCTCATTCTCTTTCTTGCTTTGCCTCAAAGATAAATGCATTTTGGAAATCATTACAAGTTTTTCGTGGTGGATTCTACAAAGGTTTTTTCTCTTGTTCCGTTTAGATTGAGATATTTCACTGGTGTGTGTCTGTTAATCCATTTCCTTATCTTAAGAAACAGTTCCCAGTGTAGCCTTAGTCTGGGACATGGGAGGATCCAGTAACCATGGTTTTGACCAATGTGCATTTTAGAATATAGCTTTTCTTATCATAATTGAGTGGTATTTCTTTTTTGTGAACCTGAGCTTAAACAGTGTCACCTCAAACTGTGATGCTTATAATTTCTATTTCAGTTGTACTTGATAGGCTGCACCATTTTAGAAATGTTAGTTTCTCCTCATTTCTCCTCACTAAGAGAATATTAAGATAAAGCCTAGGCAGCATCTGAGTAGCTGTATTTCTAAAACTTTAGTATTCAGGCCTAACATTATTTTTCTTATCTCTCTCTCTCTCTCTCTCTCTCTCTCTCTCTCTCTCTCTCTCTCTCTCTCTAAATGTACAAAGGTAGATTTGGAATGTTCTTGAGATTTCTCCCTTTTTTATAAAATGGAAAAAAATCATTATCACATTTTAGCCAGCAGTAGTGGATATTAATGAATCGCTGTTGTTCTCATCTGGCCATTATATTCCTTTTTATTAGTATTGTTTCTCTCTGCTCCCTTTTCTATTGCTGCTCATTATTTCCTCTTGTTTCTCTTTCCCCTTCCGTTCTCTGGCTTCTCCTTATTTCCCACCAAGTCTCTAGATGCTTTTCAAGTTCTAATTCTCTTGCTTTTCCCCCCACCATTCTGTCTGTCCTCCTACTCATTCAGGGAAGCTTACATTGTTTCCTATCTCCTGCATATGGAAGAATCCCTAAATAAAGGTGTTCCCCTCTGATTGTACCAAAATTACTTAAATATCTGTCTCATTACTTCCATTGCCACTACTCTATGTCATATAATCTTGGGGCTACAATCCCTCAGTTTTAAAAAAAATATGAGTTCTCTTTAGTTGAGAGTCATTTGCCATATCTACTTAGTAATCATATATAGAATTAAAGATCTACTCTAGTGCAATTTGGAGTTGTAAGTTAAGAGCTGGTGTACATTCTGCTATTTTCCTGTCACACAGAGATGACTTTAGAGTCTTAATTACAGTCCCAATAGCCACAGTTAGTCCATTCGAGTTGACACAAAATTGATTTTCATTCTTGGTTTAAAGATCTTCCAGGACTTCTGCCTCCAGACAACAAACTACATGAGCCATGCAATTGCCTGAGGATGCTATCCAGATAGGGGAGCCCAAATAGAGACAGGTGGTCTCCATGCCATGAGCTGAGGAGATAGAGCTGGGAGTTTAAGGGGACTAAGTTGAGGTGAGATTGCAGAGCAGAAAACTAGTGAAGGGAGAGCTGCAATAGGAAGGTACTTCAGAGACCAGCACAGGGTCTCTCCCACATTTTAAACTAGTTAATGATCAAGCATAAATATAAGAATAGTTAATGAGTCTGGGGGAAAGAACTACCAAATGAGGGAACAATTTTTGGAGCTTACATAGGCTGGCATCAAGTACAGTAGATATGGTGGGAAACTATTTGCTTTTTTAGAAGCCTATTGTGTCAGAAAGGGCAAACTCAACCCTAGACTAAAAGGTGCTTTGGTTCTACCTAACAAAACTTAAAAGCAATACTTGAGGTAATTATATGCTCTCTGGTTTTGTAGGTTTACCACTTACATCTTAGAGTTCTACTT